GGGACCAGTCTCCACACTCAGGACAAAGAATTTTCCATTGGTCTCCAAACTGATCCGATACTTGTAGCCGATTGGCCTTGAATAATACATGCAGGGACTCAGGTGTATTGAGCTTGAATTGTGCCTCGATATCGATGTCATTATCGTGATTCATTATCCGAGACCGAGGCTGGGACTGAAGACGTATTTGATGATTGGCTGTTGGCCAAGGATTGTCGACTCAGCGAGCAAGAATTAAGTGAGGTATAGTCAAGTATACTACAAGATGAACTATGCAAATGATTGTCTGTGTGTGATGGCACTTGAAAATCTATAGTGGGTGTCTGTGAATGTCCTGATGATGTATTACAATAATGCGAATGATGACTTGATCCGAAATGTGTCGTTTGATAGGAATTGTCCTCGAAGTCCGTGATATATGCAGCATTATCATCATTATTACTAGAAGCAAACCATGAGTCGTAACATGTAGATTTATGAGTCATAGAATACATAATGAATGAGGTTTAAGGAGAGAGAGATGCGAGTCGTTGACGAGACGCGTCGAATCGATATTGACGCGGCATATTGATATGATTATTAGTCACGTGTTCTCGAAAATCACATCCAAGATCTGACATTTAGCAGGTACCGTCTTTACATGCTCGTGTTTCATTAGAATAACTATCGAGATCTATTCTACAGTAGTAAAAACACCCCCTTTATGGTACTCGCCAAACGATTTTACGATGATTTGAGGCCGCTGGCGAGGAACTCAAAATGTGTCGCTCGTAACTTCATGTGGCTATGTATTAAGGTTCTTTTGCTTATCTAAAGTTGAGCTCTGTGTTCGGGATTTTGCAAACGCACACCTCTTGGTTCAGCAGGAATAAAACTCCGCTACGGCAGACTCGGCTTAGTGACAGGCAGACGTGATTTTTGGCTCTGTCACACCTCAACAAAGATCTCGATCATTTCTTGACCAAATTTGAAGATTCAACTTCGCAATAGTGTATTATGGGTGTACAATGATATGTGCTTGAACAGAATATAATTTGAAGCAGAGTTGAGTGAGATATTGAAAAGTGTCCGAACCAGTGGGTGACCGAAGGTGTGGTAACCGATAGTATAGGTCAAAGTCAGCGCTCAGCATCAGTTATATATACATACAACCTTTCTCAGATGTCTCAGCTTCTGATCTTTACCACAGCCTACAGGTTTCCGTCTGATACGCCAAAAATATTCTTCAGGTGCCTCATGGACAAGCCGTGGCCAGACGTGGCCGCCGTACTGCCAGCGGCACGAACTTAACTGTACTTATCCCCTCCGTGACAAGGCTGCGCGAGCCGCGTGTTTGTAACATTCAGCCAGACGTATCATGTTCAAGCTTGAATGGGCTCCCGCTCAATATTTGTTTTGTACCGTATGGGATCTTCTTCACTGTTGCAGACTGACTGGCCCGCCCACGGAGGTCCAAGTAGTGTTCGACAATTTTAGCGTGACAAGTATCGGCTTCCATCAATAACCCTGGCTGACGACTCGGAAAAACAACGGCACCGGAACACTCCCGCAGTCGACAGTCCTATCAAAGCCGTTGAACTTCGTAGCTATGCCCCTGTCACAGAAACAGCTATAAATCTCCCAATAGATCCTCGAATCCAACACAACTATGAAGGTCATCTTTGTATCCTCTCCATTAAGTCTCTGGACAACTGTACGCTCGGTTGATGCATTCAATATCGCAGGTTCATTTGTTGCATTGTGGGCTCTCGTCAAAGTCCTCAGGGCCCTTCGCTGGCGATTGAAGACCACTCAACTGCGGGGTCCGCCTCGCACCAGCTTCATATATGGTGTTTCGCATGACCTCGTCGCATCTCAAGATAGTGGTGGAATGTATGAACGTTGGGCGACAGAATATGGGGTCGCGTATATGATTCCGAGCGTCCTCGGACAGACTAGAATCGTGCTGTGCGACCCAAGAGCTATAGCTCATTTCTATGCCCGAGAGACATGGACATATGTGCAGACGCCCCTTTCGTTGACGCTTCTGGAGGCAACAGTATGTCAACATCATCATCTTACCTTGTCTTTCTGACATCTCCTGTCAGATCGGCAGAGGACTGTTATGGTCTCAGGGTGAAGCCCACAAGAGGTACTGTTCAGCTCTTGTCCTCGCGCTAGCGACTTATCTACCACCTGAAAATTAGGCAGCGGAAGGCCCTCACGCCAGCATTCAGTAATGCAGCGATTCGGAAACTCACATCAGTGTTTTATGACTCAGCATACAAGGCAAGGGTTTTGCGACGTGGGAAATATAGCATCTCTGATCTTGATACTTTGCAGGCCAAAGGTGCATGGGATACTGCTATAGAATTGAGCAATGATGGCGACACTGTCATCGAGGTTCAGAACTGGTGCGTGACTTTCCTGGCTTGTCAAGTGTCATTTCTAATCGAAACGACTCAAAGGATGAATCATATATCGTACGCGAAGATAATTTGCTATTGAGGCCTCTAACTAACGCATCATCAGCCTGGATACGATTGGCATCGCTGGTTTCTCCCATGATTTTGGCTCGCTCGATGGAAAGCGAGCCAGCGTGACCGAAATATTTGATACTTTCGGAAACAACCAAAAGGCTTCAGCAGTGAACCAGGTTGTTCTCCTGCTCGCATCAGCGTTTCCTGTCATTACAAAGATCCCTAGCAAGCGGAGGAATCTGGTCAAGAAACTCGGCGTAGCCTTGAGAGAATTATTCAACGACTTATTGGTTCGTAGCCGCCGGGAGAAGGATGTAAATGTGAGCAAGAGAGACGAGGAGAAGTCCATCATCGGATTGTTGAGTAAGCTCTCCAAGAGATCCATCGTATTCTCTCGATTAACGCTGCGATAAGTTAAATCCGAAGGCCAGGATGCCGAGCTTCATATGTCGAAGGAGGAAGTAGTGGCTCAGGTCCGTGGAGACTGTGCATGACAGCAATGACTTGCAAGCTGATATCCTGCAGATGAAGGTCTTGCTTTTTGCGGGTTACGAAACGACGTCGAGTGAGTTCATTTATGTCCCCTGCCATCATATTAGCTGACTTTTCATCGACAGTGAGTCTTACGGTAAGCCTACTGTGCGATAATGTTTGTGCACGCTATTAATGTGATGATCAGTGGGCGCTGATCGAACTATCGCGACACCCCGATGTCCAAACCAGACTCAGAGAGGAACTGCTTGTGTTTGGCGCTGATCCGACATATGACCAGTTAAAGGCCAATCTCCCATACTTGGATGCCGTTGTCCATGAAATTCTACGACTCCATCCTCCGCTGGGCGAGTTCACCCGTCTTGTGAGTGTTCATGTCTACATGTGAATAGCCACTCACAATAGTTTTATAGGCAGCGGCAGATGACGTCATTCCCTTGAGCGAACCTGTGCGCACGCTGTCCGGGGAAATGACGGACAGTATATGTATAGCGAAAGGAACATTGATCACGATACCAGGCGCGGCGATCAATCGCTCTTCGGCCATCTGGGGACCAGAGGCAAAGGAATTTAAGCCTGATCGTTGGCTGACTGAAGACGGGATCAGTGGGAAGGCCAAGGAAGTCCAAGGTCATAGGCATCTGCTGACATTCGTCGACGGCCCGAGGACGTGTCTTGGCAAAGATTTTGCGATTTCGGAATTCAAGGTGAGTGATTCGAATCAGTCAGTTTGGACGTTATTCACTGTGATATAGGCGGTTTTATCTGTTCTGGTGAAGAACTTCGTGTTTGAGATGCGGGATGGACCTGATACTCCAGTCGAAATTGCGAGGGGACTTTTACCCCGCCCGCGGGTTGTTGGAGAGGATGGCATTGGGGTGCCTTTGAGAGTTCGTCGGTATGAATGATTTAGTTGCGTTGCACTAGCAATTTTACAATACTTATTTTTTCCTACTTACATGCGGCTGACACCTTTGGATTGTATTCAGGAAGAGGAATGTGTGATTGTTATTGTAATATGAGTACTATATAGTACTGTATATGCTATCCTAGCTATTATTTCTGCTGCCAAGCGGAGCAGAATTCCCAGAACACTGACACCCAGTAATAAGTAATATGTGAAAGCTGATCAATTACTTACATTAACATTCTGGTCGATTTTCTCGTCTGATTCTCCTGTATGGAGCTTCGCTCCTGTGGTACTGGTTGCAGGCTGCATAGGCGAGGTTGACCAAGCATAACATGCAAAGAAACCGCGGTTCGGCCGCCCTTGTGACATGGACTCATTTTCTGGCAGGCGGTGTCGAGAAATCAAGTTCCAGAAGCGACAAGTCCATCATTACCAGATGAGGTAATGCAAGCAGTCGAACGTGCAACGTCGAGGTAAGACCATGATGTGACCCGGGACATCGAGTCTAGCCTGTCTGTCACCTATTGGTCAGGGGCTATTATGTCTTCCACCATCTAGAGAGTGAGTTTCGTGTTGCGTCTTCCACATACCACGTAAGTACCAAGCTTTTGATACGAGACTACAGCTGAGCAGGATATTCACCACATCCTGCCAGGGATCACTAAGGAGTATTATATTCGCACTCGTGAGGAGCGATTCGGGATTCCATCATGTATGGGAGCAGTTTGCAACGCACGAGAAGAGATAGGAACAGTGGAATGCACTGCGTGCTGGATGCAATGCCATGGACGGATGGTATGCGAGGAGCAGCGGTCAATTCATATTGGGGGATACACCTTGTTTGCTGACTTCATGGTTGCGGGACTATACAATTGGATACGGTATTGCTTTGAGAATCGGGAGCAGTGGGACGAAGTGGCGGACCGCGGCAGCACTAGTAGGTAGTCTACATATGCCTGAATTTTTTTGACGTGAGTCGAGCAGCGCGTTGAGGTGTTTTGAACATTTTGCATATCACATGCATGTTGCAGATTACCCGGAATGATAGTATACAGAACTATATAGTGCTCATATGAAATACAGTACAAGGGTTTCAGCCGCGGACAAGTGGGACAAAATTGCTAGTTCAGCGCAACTAATCATTCATACCGACGAACTCTCAAAGGTACCTCAATGCCATCCTCCCCAGCAACCCGCGGACGAAGTAAAAATCCCCTCGCAATTTCGACTGGAGTATCAGGTCCATCCCGCATCTCAAACACGAAGTTCTTCACCAGAACAGATAAAACCGCCTATATCACAGTGAATAACGTCCAAACTGACTGATTCGAATCACTCACCTTGAATTCCGAAATCGCAAAATCTTTGCCAAGACACGTCCTTGGGCCGTCGACGAATGTCAGCAGATGCCTATGACCTTGGACTTCCTTGGCCTTCCCACTGATCCCGTCTTCAGTCAGCCAACGATCAGGCTTAAATTCCTTTGCATCTGGTCCCCAGATGGCCGAAGAGCGATTGATCGCCGCGCCTGGTATCGTGATCAATGTTCCTTTCGCTATACATATACTGTCCGTCATTTCCCCGGACAGCGTGCGCACAGGTTCGCTCAAGGGAATGACGTCATCTGCCGCTGCCTATAAAACTATTGTGAGTGGCTATTCACATGTAGACATGAACACTCACAAGACGGGTGAACTCGCCCACCGGAGGGTGGAGTCGTAGAATTTCATGGACAACAGCATCCAAGTATGGGAGATTGGCCTTTAACTGGTCATATGTCGGATCAGCGCCAAACACAAGCAGTTCCTCTCTGAGTCTGGTTTGGAACATCGGGGTGTCGTGATAGCTCGATCAGCGCCCACTGATTGTCATATTAATAGCGTTCACAGACGTTATCGCACAGTAGGCTTACCGTAAGACTGACTGTCGGCGAAAAGTCAGCCAATATCACATCAATGGACCAGAAATCAGCTCACTAGATGTCGTCTCATAACCTGCCACAAGCAAGCCCTTCATCTGCAGGATATCAGCTTGCAAGTCATTGCTGTCATACAGTCTCCACGGACCTGAGCCATTACTTCTTCCTTCGACATACGAAGCTCGGCATCCTGGCCTTCGGATTTAACTGATCATCGTGTTAATGAAGATACCACGGTGAATCTCTCGGAGACCGCACTCAACAATCCGATGATGGACTTCTCCTCGTCTCTCTCGCTCACATTCGTATCCTTCTCCCGGCGATTGCGAATCAATAAGTCATTGGATATTTCTCCCATGGCTACACCGAGTTTCTTGACCAGATTCTTGTGCTTGCTGGGGATCTTTGTAATGATAGGAAACGCTGATGCGAGCAGGAGAACAACCTGGTTCACTGCTGAAGCCTTTTGGTCGTTTCCGAAAGTATCAAACACCTCTGTTACGCTGGCTTGCTTTCCATCGAGCGAGCCAAAATCATGGGAGAAACCAGCGATGCCAATCGAATCCAGACTGATGATGCATCAGTTAGAGGCGTCAATGGCAAAATACCTTCGCGTACGATATATGATTCATCCTTTGAGTCATTGTGAGTAGGAACGACACTTGACAAGCCCGAAAAGTTACGCACCAGTTCTGAACCTCGATGACAGCGTCGCCATCTTTGCTCGATTCTATAGCAGTATCCCATGCACCTTTGGCCTGCAAAGTATCAAGATCAGAGATGCTACATTGCCCACGTTGCAAATCCTTACCTTGTATGCTGAGTCATAAAACACTGATGTGAGTTTCCGAATCGCTGCATTGCTGAATGCTGGCGTGAGGGCCTTCCGCTGCCTAATTTTCAGGTGGTAGATAAGTCGCTAGCGCGAGGACAAGAGCTGAATAGTACCTCTTGTGGGCTTCACCCTCAGACCATAACAGACCTCTGCCGAGCTGACAGAAGGCGTCAGAGACAAGGTAAGATGACGACGTTAACATACGAATGACTCCAGAAACGTCAACGAAAGGGGCGTATGCACATATGTCCATGTCTCTCGGGCGTAGAAATGTGCTATAGCTTTTGGGTCACACAACACGGTTGTAGTCTGTGTGAGGACGCTCGGAATCACATATGCGACCCCATATTCTGTCGCCCAACGTTCATACATTGCACCACTATCTTGAGATACGACGAGGTCGCGCAGAACACCATACATGAAGCTGGTGCGAGGCGGACCGCGCAGTTGAGTCGTCTTCAATCGCCAGCGAAGGGCCCTCAGGACTTTGACGAGAGCCCATAATGCAACAAATGAACCTGCGACATTGTATGCACCAACCGAGCGTACGGTTGTCCAGAGACTTAATGGAGAGGGCACAGAGACGACCTTCATGATTATGTTGGAGTCGAAGATCTATTAGGAGATTTATAGCTGTTTCTGTGGCAGCGGCATGGCTCCGAAGTTGAACGGCTTCATTATGCGGGCACAGCAGTCAACTGCGGGAGTGTCCCGGTGCCGTCAACAAGGATTATTTATAGAAGGTACCTGTCACGGTGTCTGAACTCAATTTGTCAAACACGACTTGGACCTCCGAGTTAATCATGATGGACGAACTGGTAAGTCTGCGAGAGTGAAGGGGATGCTGGGGCATATGTTGAGTGGCAGCTCATTCAAGCTTGAAGGTGATACGTCTGGCTGAATGTTTCAAATACGCGGCTTGGCGGCAGCCTTGTCACTGCGGAGACAAGTACCGTTAAGTTCGTGCCGCGGTGGTAATTTACCCTCTGGCACTGCGGCCACGTCTAGTCCCAGCATGTCCGCAGTCCTGGAGAAATGCGGGAGAAATCTGGATAAAGCGAATGATAAAAACTGTGGTCCCGTCCGTTTTGTTGCTAATTCAGCAGGGATTCTTGGATGAATAAATTCAACTGAGTACTGAGCGCGGTCACAGCAAGCTATGAAATGCCTGGCGCAGGTAAGGGGACCTGGGGACAGCTCTACCAGGCGTGCGGCGTCGAACGTTGATGCATCAATCAATTATCATGATGCTGACTCGATAAGGACTCCGTGAAGGAATTGCGTGTGCTAGAGCCAATGCGTGCGCGTGAACGTTTGAACTTTAGCTAGGACGCGGGAACTCGTGGGACTAAGATTCTAATTGCGTCCATGATCGTTCTACGCGTATCATGATCATGGCCTTACAAAATTCGACTCAACCGTTAACGTTTTAAATTTTAACCATGATGCATGAGCGCTCAATCTGTTATAATGTATCGGCTCTCACGTTGATTATCATTGATATTAACACATACAACCTACGATTGAAGCAAGGCGAGACCTATTGTGACCCGCGCAATCCGAGGGAGATGATAAATGCCCTGATAAATTCGCATTCTGCTTCTCCGTGACAGTTATCTGTAAGGTGTTATTGATGCTACAATTCAAGTTGCAATGACAACCTTCGGGGCCAAGGTCACTGCCTTTGTATGAGTCCGCCAGCGGCACAAGCTCACACATCAGGCTGGATCAATGGAAAGAGCTGCAGATGGGCGGTATCCAGTTAAATGGGATACCTACTATCTCCCAAAATGATACGGTATGTGCATCCTATATTCCATAATGACTGCTCATACTTATGAGCTTCAAGTCTGTCGTAGCCGAAGCTGTATATCACTAACATCGTGCAAAGTCCCTGCCTTGCTACATAGGCCCTTGTACTCTCTTGGGGAGTCTCAGAGAAACGGACAACAAGTTCACTGCGGGCGATAGTTGGCTCCACAAGATCTGGTCTCTGATTCATGCTTTCCATACGAAATGAGGCGAATTCATTACTGTGCTAGGTCATGGAGTCATACTTCTATGTTCCTTTTTTCTATTACACATCAAATTCTGTCGGTAAATTAGAGTGATGAATTGTTGAGACGCGGTTAAGCTGTCTTCTCCCGGTACGAAATTGAGCTGCGGACGGCGACGATACCTACGACAGGAGTTCTGTGTGCTGAAGATACGGGCATCGAGTCTTCAAGTTGACTGACGGATCCAAGTCCTGTGCCTCGAAAAGCAAGGTTTGCCCGCTGTGGAACATTCTACCATCATGTTTACTAGTAAACGTGCACCATCTCTTTTGGTGAATCTATGGTCGAACATACTTGCTCCATCAATCACAAGCCTATAGCACTACACTATGACTCCGATCTTGCTGCGTAAAAACGACGGCAAAAATGAACGTAATTCCAGATTATCAACATTAATACAACGAGGTGAACGATAGACCGTCCAACAAAATCAAATACCCACCACACCGCATACTTGTCCCGCAAGTAATCTAACCCTCCAAGATTCCCATTTCCCTCCACCTCTCCCAAAGCATGCCAACGCCAACAGGTGAGTTAGCAGCACCCTTCACATCTTTGATGTCTAACAGTTCATATTCTCGCCCAAATGCGAGAAAATGGGCAAAGAGGGAGTTGAAATGAGGCTCTGAACGGAGATGAAGGATTTGAGGATAATGCGCGTGGTAGATGTGTGCGAATACGCGAAGGAGTTGACGGTAGACGTGTTTGACGGTCGAGGGGAATGATTGAGGGAAGTCGTGTCCTGTACGAACGATTATAGAGGGAGGTGAAGCTAAGTAAGAAGGCACTCACCAGACTTTGTGGGGAAAACGTTTTCATCGTCGAGAAGGTTTTGAATCCATGTCATGACATAGTCGATGTAGGTGGGCGCAGCAAGGTGGACGCTCTTGCGATCTTGATTGATCCATGTGTAGTTAAGACTGCAACACATTATGAACGAACGCGCTCGGAACAGGGAGACACGTACTTTTGCCCAGCAGACATAGTCGGACATGATTGCTGCGTACAACACTCTGATATGACGCCATAAAACTCGTTGAGATTGGTGTAAAAGTCGAACACTAACGCGGTATTTGAGACAGTTTGGTAAAGTGAGACTGATAGACATACCATTGACGGCTACCCATTCCATGATGTCGACATACTTTGGAAGAACGACGATGGTTTTGAAGTTGCCTTTGACGAGTGCTGCCTCTACAAACGGGCTACACAAATAAAGAGGTTTTTGGATGCTAGTTGTGACTGGAGACGAAGGTACAGGTGGGGGTGGCATGTCAGACGAGAACGTCGAAGAGGTTGGTGTAGGCGAACGCTTTGGTCCGCGCGGTGTACGCGACATGGAACGACTGGAATGAATTGTTAGATGGTTTTACAACTCTTACCATGAGCTCACCCTATTGAATTGAAGAAAGACATGATAAACGAAAGTTCAAAGAAGGACGATCAGTACTTGACGATCGCGAGTAGTAAAGACTCAAGAGTAGAACTATCTTATCCCAAAAAGGAAGTTAAGTATGTTACAGTGGCGTGGGAGTCTACAGCAGGCCTTACATTGTCTGCAATTTCATTCAAAGCCTTGCAAGGCTCCGGTCATCGTCTCTCTCCATATTACATGGTGGGCACAAGGCGAAAAAGCAAGGCTGCCGCAGCCGCAGCCACTCAGCACGACTACGATGGTGCATCAACTCAAGGAACAGACGAGTTCAGCCATCCGCAACCATTCAGCGTCTCACTACCTATCGACATCGATGTTGAAGCACTTTCAAGCTTGATACCAGATGTCTCATTTGCCACCCCAACCCCTGAAACAATAGTATCTGTGTACAGATTGCTCCTTGCACAAGTCACCGAAACCAATGCCACTCAGAGAGACCTAGAGGAGGCGAGAGCAGAGGTCGAACGGAGGGAAGTGGAACTAGACCAGGCTTATCAAGATGCGGAGAACAAGACGAACAGTCTTGAAACTTCTTTCGAAAATGTCCAGAGCCAACTCACAGTCACGAGGCAAGAAAAGGAGCAGCTTGGTAGGTACAGTTCTACCGTTAGTGCATTCCAAGCTTATATTCCCCGCAGCTGCATCGAAAAGTAGCCTAGAAGCGCAGCTATTAAATTTCAGCACTTCGCAGTCCACTTCGTCGACCGAACTCGACCAATTGAAGCATCGCGTCGAGGACGCTGAACGCGAAAAACGTGACCTTATGGGTGTGGTAAATAGGTTGAAGGAAGATGCAACGCAGCGCGACGGTGCGTTATTCGCATTTCTTTCATGAATCCATAGTTCATATTTCGTAGATGAGGTGCAAAACTTGCGCAATAGCCTCCGACAGGCACGTCAAGAACACCAAACACAGGAGACTCAAGTGCGCGAGCTTCGCTCATCAGAAACGTCCAACAAGGCATGTATACTCTCTGCCTGAAAACTAGTGCCCTTTCATCTAATGCACCTTTAGTTCAAGATCGACTCCCTCACGCAGCAACTCCAGCTTGCACAGTCCGAAGTCGAGCGAGCAACCGCCGAATTATCATCCAAAATCGAAGAACACGCCAAGTACCGACGCACGAAACATGCCGAGTTCGCAACTCTGCAAGCCGCTCACGACTCACTCACCCAGCAACACTCAGCATCGGAGAGCGCGTTTAAAGCTCTCCAAAGCGCGCATTCATCTCAAGCACACCAGCTCACGCAGGCTCTTGCACGCGTGCAGGATCTGACTGGACAGCTCGCAGAACAGGAAGCAGCGTTCACTAGTGAAGCATCTGGGCTTCGACGACTCGTAAACATTATGGAAGAGCGCGAGAAGCAGGCGAAGGACATTGTTGAAGGCATTGAACGCGAATGGGCAGGTGTCGGAGAACGTGCCGAGCGACGCGAGGCAGCTCTGCACGCTGAAGTCGAGAAGGAGAAACGGGCCCGAGCGGAAGCAGAGCGAAAGGTTGATCAACTTGAAACAGTTCTTGAGCGCATGAATCGTGGTGAATTGCCCGTCGCCTCCCGCGGATCACCCGTTCCAGGAACCCCAGCCACCCCTGCTCGTAATTCTGCTCAAGCGGCCGGAATGGAGGGTATGCTTGGTTTGAGCCCGACGGTCGCAATGGTCAGCAGGGCACAGAAGACCGGCAAGACGTTTACCGAGGTCTATGCCGACTATGTTCGCTTGCAGGATGAATTTGCGAAGAAGTCATCCGAGTATGATCACATGGACAGAACTCTTTCTGCAGTGTTGGCTCAGATTGAAGAACGGGTAAGTTGCATTCCCATATCGTCAAAATGATAGTCTGATCCGTCTGTCCAGGCTCCCATTCTATCACAGCAACGCGAAGAGTACGACCGCCTACAATCCGAAGCCGCACAACTTGCCTCACAGCTCTCGACCGCACTCGCCGAACGTGAAGCTAACTCAAACGCATTCCAAGAAGCCTCGCAAAAATTGAAGAAGTCTCACTCAGAGAATGAACTTTTGCAACGACAGCTCGATGATCTCGGTCGGCAAGTTCAAATTCTGCTTAAGGAACTCGGGAGGCGCACAGACCCGTCTTTGCCCACGGATGCTGAGATGGAAGAAATGGAGCCCCTACCAGCCGAAAACATTGATGCAGTCATCACGAATAACCTCGTACTCTTCCGCAGTATTGGTGGGCTGCAAGAGCAGAACCAGAAGCTACTCAAGATTGTACGCGAGCTCGGCTCCAAAATGGAGGCGGAGGAGCGTGAGTACCGCGAGGCGCTTGAACAAGAGCAAAGTGAAGCTGTGAGAGAGGCGCACGAGGCGATTCAAGATCTGGCCGCACAGCTTGAGAGACAGAAGAAGAGCAGCGATATGACAATCCAGGCGTACATGAAGGAACGAGATGCGATGAAAGCCATGCTTGCGCGGGCTGAGCGCTCGGGACTGCATGCGGGCGTCAACGGCGACATCAACGGCGTTGCTGGTCCTATCAAGAACAATCTGGCTGCGGAACTTGAAGACGTGCAAGCTCAGTTCGAGGCTTATAAAACTGAGATGGGCACAGATTCTGTGAAGCTTCGAGAGGAGTTACAGCAAGCGCATCGCGATCTCAATCAGGTCAACGTTACGCTTGCCAAGGCCAATGCCAAGATCGAATATCTCACTGGTAAGCACTTTCAGTTTGTTCGTGCTTTCGGTCGTCTAATTTTTTTTTTCATTCAAGACCGTCATCGCATGAGCCAAGACGAAGCATCGCTACATACCCGCGATCTCGACTCCTTGACCAAGCGCAATCAACAACTCTACGATCAATATATCCGAATTGATATCGAGTGTAACCGAGCCCAGCAGGAGTTATCCGAGGCTAACAGTCGTGTCGAGCAGTTGCGCAATGAGAATGCCAACCTGCGTGCAGAGAAGAAAATATGGGAGGTGCGTTTTGCAATGTTTACGAGAAACGTGATGTTGAGTATTGTCATTTCAAGTCTATCCAAGTTCGCCTGGTGCAAGAGAACAAGACCCTTTCAGTGGAACGGTCTCACCTAGCTGACCTTATGGCCAATGTGCAGAGGATGCATGGCGACCTTGAACGATCGGGAGAAAATGACCGCCGGCGTCTGGAGAACCAGATCCAGACAATGGATGACCAGATGTGTGTTATCTGAATGTACCCTCCCGATGTTGCGAAAGGCTAATTGACTACCACAGGAAAGATATGAAGGTTCAACTCTCGCAGGAGCGCGACGCAGTCCGCCATGTCACGCTTCAGAAGGATATCGACTTGAAGGACCTGCAAACCCGCCTGGACAAGACGGTATGCTTCACTTTTTCATGGAGATATGCCGGTTCTTATACTTTGCAGACCGAACAACTATCTCAAGTTCGGGAGTCTCTCGTCGGTGCAGAAACCAGCAAAGTCCACCTCCAAGAGCGCGTTGACCAGCTTACACGCCAGCTACAAGGTAACGAGGAGAAGCTTGCCGTGTACGAACGTCGCCCATCGGTTGCCAATGGCGCTGCTCCTGCTACTGAGCAAGACCTTCCACGTGAACAGCGACTCGAGCAGGAAGTTGCGGAATTGCGGTTGGTGTGCAAGCACTATGTTTGTGGCACCATGCTGAATAAATTCATTCTAGGTCTGCTTTGAAAGTCGCTCAAGTCGATCTTACAGCTGCCCGTAGTCACATGCAGCAATTCCAAGAAATCTCTCAAGCAAACGAGGCTGCTCTGTCCGCACTGAATGCTACGCATGATCAATACAAGACTGAAACTGAGGCGCAGATTTCGAAGAACGAGGTGGGGTCTTCTCCAATTTCCAGAACTTTGATTCTCAAACCGCTTTTTACAGCTGGAGTACAAGGCCCTGCAAGATAAACTGCGCAGCGTTGAGGATGATGTGCGACAGTCTGCCGACAAGTTCTCTGAACTTCAACGCACATTCGAGTCGGAGCGACTAGTCTGGACTAATGACAAGAAGATCTTGGAGGATACTATCGTCGACTTGAGCACCTCTGAGAAGACTTCTGAAACTGACCGCACCACTCGCGAGAGTGAAGTTCGCCAACAGGAGGAAAGAGCCCTTGTAAGTTGTCATTATTCTGTCATTATCCTCGTTCTTAGTCTTTCCAGGCTGCAGAAGATAGATACTCGCGTGAAGTGATCGTCCATGCTGAGTCAATCAAGACCATCGAGACCCTCAAACAACAACTATCCGTCGCTCAAGCTACCTCCAGGGAGAACCTGTCAGAAGCTGCTAATGCCCAAGCTAAACTAGCGGCATCGGAGGGCAGCTGGAAGCAGCAAAAAGAAGCTTTGGACAAGGAAATTGCTGATCTCAACGCACGGTGGGTCCCTGATTGGATGCCAATCGGTTCTTAAATCTGATTTGAATACAGGTCCAAGGATCTGTCCGCACAGAATACTCTTCTTCATCAACATCTCGAGACTGTCAGCACCCAAGCTACGCGTATTCGTCAGGCTGCTGATTCCTCCGCTACGGAGGGCACTTCTGGTGACGCAGATGTTGGTGGCGATGTGGATACTAAGGTTTCAGAGCTCAGATCTGTTGTGGCTTACCTGCGCAAGGAGAAAGAGATAGTTGATCTCCAGCTTGAGCTCAGTAAACAGGAGAACGTCCGTTTGAAGGCTCAGATCGAGCATCTGACTCAGAGCTTGCAAGAGACCAGAGCAACCCTTGCTGAGGTACGTTTGTTAGTATTCGATGTTGTTGATAATGAATGACACTGGCATCAGGAACGGGAACGGGCGATGGAGGCGGCGACTTCGGATGCTCAGCACGCTGAGATGTTGGAGAGGATCAACCAGTTCAACATTCTTCGAGAAAGCAACGCCACCCTCCGCGCTGACTGCGAGACTTATGCTAAACGCTCTCGCGAGCTCGATGCGAAACTGCAGGCATTATCTACAGAGCTTGAACCTGTCAAGGAAAAGGCTCGTGTGGCACAGGCAGAGCTGCAAGCCAGAGATGCGCAGATCACACGTCTCGAGGGAGAGAGCCGCCGTTGGCAAGAACGTAACGCACAGTTACTGAGCAAAGTTAGCGTTCAGAACCCTTTATCTTTATTCAAGCTGACGTGGCTTGATAGTATGATCGTACTGACCCCGCTGAGATCCAAACGCTGAAAGACGAAATCGAAACCCTGAAAACTCAGAAGGCTGATGCGCATAAATTGGTTGCAGAACGTGACGAGCGAGCAAACGCTATCCAATCCCGAGTACGTATTTTCTTTTCAAACGATAATGCTGTTCTGACCAGTCTCAAGCTCTCGGCTCTCGAGGCTAACTTCAGAAGCCACAAAGAGAGCAATAGGACAAGTGTAGACAAGTTCAAACATAGCCTTGGGTTACTGAACGGTGAGAAGTCTCAACTCAACGCCACTGTCAGTGAGCTTGAGGGCAAGATCAAAACCCTGACCGCCGAACGAGACGCATTGCGCACCACCTCGGCACCTGATACGTCGCAGCAGTTGAACACCCAGTTGGAGACGCTACGGAAAGAGAAGGTCGCTTTGGAGCAAGCGTTAGCCAATGAGAGAGCTACGAAAATACAGGCGCCTGTCGAAGGTTCATTAGATCAAACTGCACTCATTGTATGCTTTTCTCGTCAGTCCGAGTTTCGTTACTTACCTCGTTCGTCTAGACTTCCCTCAGGGAGGAAAGAGATAAGCTTTTGGCAGAAAATGAGGCTCTGAGCAAAGCTGGGTCCTCTACTCTGCCTTCTGATACTGCACGGTTGTGGGAGTCGGAAAAGCTTGAGCTCTTAAAGGCGCGGGACGAGGCATTGGCGCGTGCTAGTGTTGGTCACTTGGTTTGACTGTGCGAAGCTAGACTGACGACTTTTTTCCAGGCCGCAGACGATTTGGCGAAAAAGGCGTCCGATGAAGTCAGGAGCGTCCGCCAATCCAATGAAAAATTTCAAACTAGAATTCAGGAAATGAGAGAGAAGGCCAAGAGTGAAATAACTGCCGGCGGTGCTTCTGTAAATACCGAGGAACTCTCGAAGAAGCATGTCCAAGAACTGGAGGCTCTGCGAGTTCAACTGACTGCCCAGCACGAGGCGGCCCTCAAGGTGGCAGTAGACGCTGCCACTAAAGCTGCTAAAACGGAGGCTGCCACTTCTCCCTCCGATGAGTCAACAAAAGCCGCTATTGCCGCTGCCATCGCTGCTCATGACGCAGAGCTCCGAGAACGACGTAGCTCAGAATTGGATGCAGCGGTCGAGCGGGGTAGATTGGAATCGCAGGCAAAGACCAAAATCAAAGATGGTCAACTTGTTCGATCTCAGGCCAAGCTTAAGGATCTGGAAGCGCAAGTGTTGGAGTGGCGAAAGGCTGGTTTGATCCCCGAGGCTCCGCCACCGCAAACGCCCACAGCATCGACCTCCAAGGTGCCACCCCCAACTACTGCTACAGTTTCTACTTCACAACCAGCCACGGCTTCCACTCAGGCAGCAACTGCACCAAAGTACAATAGCTGTGAAGCCTGTCGCCGCAGCCCCAGCAGGTCAACCTGCAGCTGCTAGTGGTGAAAAGCCACCCACCAGTGGTGCGGTCCCACTTGGTATACCCAGAGGTGGCCGAGGCAGAATTGCTCCGCGCGGCACTGTGAGAGGAGGCATCAATACCCGAGGTGCGGCTCCTGGTCGGGGTGGCGCTCCACCTCCTATTCCACCCCCTACTGCAGCTACCTCCGGTACTACAGGGATATCTATCATTGGCGCAGCTAGCAAACGTAGTCGAGAAGAAGATTTGGCCGCGGACGATTCTCTGGCGAAGCGGCTGAAGCCTGCAGCGGAGACCACCGCACCAAAACCCCCTGTTACTCTCCGTCGCCCGCCTCCATCATAGCCAGACCCGCAGTAGTGTATGTGATACCATGACTCCTCATATTGTATCAATATTTCATCTGTCGATTCACAATTACTATTACATCCTGTTTGTCATGTGCAGAAATTCTGGTCATGTAGGTAAGCCGAGCGCATCGCGCTCAACGGAACTACTTCGAGCAATCAAGATACTTGTCAGTTGCCTCCACCAGTCTCCTCCATCGTCCTCCATTCCAGCTCTTCACTTCTTCCCACTCCTCATTCTCATAGCAATACCGTATCCAATTGTATAGTCCCGCAACCATGAAGTCAGCAAAACATGGTGTATCCCCCAATATGAATTGACCGCTGCTAGTCGCATACCACCCGTCCATGGTATTGCATCCAGCACGTAGTGCATTCCACTGTTCCTCTCTCTTCTCGGGCGTTGCAAACTGCTCCCATGGAATCCCAAATTGCTCCTCACGAATGCGAATATAATACGCCTTGCTACCGGGTTTGAGCTTCTGAGCACCTCTAAAGCAGGCCAGCAAGAAGGTGCCATTTAAGGCGTTAAAGAACGCGGTTCGAAAGACGTGCACCAGCGCGGCTGTGCCATGTGGCAGTACTTTCGGTGTGTCAGGGTATTGCTCATCAAGGTACTGTGCAATCGCAAAGGAGTCTGTAATAAACCTATTCGTATTGGGATCCATGATGACAGGGAGCGTGCACACGGGTGTTAGGGTTCCCTTGATGCTATACGAGGTGGTGGGCACAAGAGAATGCTGCTCGTAGAATGGCTTGATCTCCGGGAACTCGAGCCAGACAGTCTGGAAGGGTAGACCCTTGAAGGTGAGACAATATCTATGATATGTCAATGACGAAGAGGAACTCCTAAGGGAGGTAACATGCCTTGTGTTCATCGTATTTGCAGACCATGGTTCATTCTGCACGATGTTGGGGATATCATAGAAGATAATGGGTTTAAGCCCTGTCATCGACATTGTTTCTACGATGTCCGCGTAAAGTAGTACGGGGTTGGGTTTTGCCAGTACTTGACGTACAAAGCAAAGCTCTTAGCGCTATATAGCTAGGGAAAGCTGTCCGCCGCCCATGGAATGGGGATCGATCATCACGCCGCATGGTAACCAATTGTGTTCAACACCACGCTAGCTGTGCACTGGTGGTAATGTTAAAACAGTGATTATCCTTATTTTGCGCGGTTACTGGTAAATATCAGTACAAAGAATATTTGATTACAATCTAGATAAAATCCAAGACAGATTGAGGAACAAACAGATGAAGATAATGAAGATCACAAAGAAGATCACAAAAGAAGAGGCAGATAGCGAAACAGAACAAAGCGGAAGAAGAGACAAGAGAACACGAGGCCGGTGCCAGTGTTTTTTGGGGTAGTCCCCCTCGTGACTGAACAGGGCCGGGTCACAGCATCAGGCCTTCAGGTGTCACCCGTCCTGGGACAGTCCGAGTCATAGGCGCTTCGTGACCCTGTACATTAGTTCGTGTTCTGTTCTGTGCACACCCGCTGTTTTTGTATCATTTGTATTACTAGTACTACGACCTAATTATAACCTAACTACATGCTGCAATGCATCCGTGAAGCGACATGCCTCCTGCCAGTGGACACTCAGTGCTGCTTCCCGAGCCTCCCATCAACCTCTCCGTCGGCCGCCTCCGAGTCCATCATAGCCGGACCCGCAGTAGTGTATGTCATACAGACTTGTGTCCTACTATGACTCCACATATTATATCAATATTTCATTTGTCGATTCACAATTATTATTACATCCTGTTTATCATGTGCAGAAATTCTGGTCATGTAGGTAAGCCGAGCGCATCACGCTCAACGGAACTACTTCGAACAATCAAGATACTTGTCAGTTGCCTCCACCAGTCTCCCTCCATCGTCCTCCATTCCAGCTCTTGACTTCTTCCCACTCCTCATTCTCAAAGCAATACCGTATGTAATTGCATAGTCCCGCAACCATGAAGTCAGCAAAACACGGAGTATCTCCCAATATGAATTGACCGCTGCTCGTTGCATACCACCCGTCCATAGTATTGTATGCAACACGTAGTGCATCCCACTGCTCCTCTCTCTTCTCGTGCATTGCAAACTGCTCCCATGGAATCCCGAATCGCTCCTCGCAAGTGCGAATGTAATACTCCTTGCTCTCGGGATTGAGCTTCTGAGCACCTCTAAAGCCGGCCAGTAAAGAGGTGCCCTTTACTGCGTTATAGAACGCGGTTTGAAAGACGTGCACCAGAGCGGCTGTGCCATTTGGCAGTACTTTCGGTGTGTCGGGGTATTGCTCATCAAGGTACTGTGCAATCGCAAAGGAGTCTTTAATCAACCTATCCGTATGGGATCAATGATGATAGGGAGCGTGCACAAGGGTGTTGGAGTTCCCTTGATGCTATACGAGGTGGTGGGTACAAGAGAATGCTGCTCGTAGAATGGCCTGATCTCTGGGAACTCGAGCCAGACGGTCTGGAAGGGCAGACCCTTGAAGGTGAGACAATATCTATGACATGTCAACGACGAAGAAGAACTCCTGAGGGAAGTAACGTGCCTTGTGTTCATCGTATTTGGAGACCAAGGTTCATTCTGCACGACGTTGGGGATGTCATAGAAGATAATGGGTTTAAGCCCTGGCATCGACATTGTTTCTACGATACCCGCGTACAATAACACGGGGTCGGGTTTTGCTAGTATTTGATGCACAAAGCAAAGCTCTTAGCGCTATATAGCTGGGGAAAGCTGTCCGCCGCTCCATGGAAAGGACCGGTTTAGCGAGACTTACTAATATACTGCAGGGCGCAAGTACTTGGAGGCTCCCTCAGATTATTTCCACAGTATTAACCATTTCGTCATTGATATCATCAGTCACCAGCGAGGTCACCACACCCAAGTGGTACCCGGGGGTATATTCTATATGTACACGACGAGGGGTAGTGGACTATCACGATCTCTGTTGGATGCGAGCAGAACGACGAGGGCCCGCGGATGACTGGATGGTGGGTGGAGGATGTGCCAATCTCGACGATGATGCCATGGCCCATGGGGATCAATCATCACGGTAACCAATTGAAGAAGAAGCAGGTAGCGAAACAGAACAAAGTGGAAGAAGAAGATAAGATCTATCATAGTCAAGAGTTGCGTCGAGGCCGGTGCCAGTCCCTCAGGGAACAGGGCCGGGTCACAGCATCAGGTGTGACCGGTCACCTACAGTCACAGGCGCTTCGTGACCATCATGATATTCCATGCCTGTACATTAGCTCGTGTTCTGTGCACACCCGCTGTTTATCATTGCTTTTTATCATTTTCTGTATTACTACGACCTAATTACAACCTAACTACATGCTGCAATGCATCCGTGAAGCCTTTCGCACTAGGACATACCTCCTGGACACTCAGTGATGCTTCCTGAGCCTCCCATCAACCCCGCACTTCTACAGGGGGGCAGCGTGTCATCAGATCTGGTCCTGGGCTATGGAGGGACTGCGACTGATGCAGAAACCAATGTCCTGGTGTCCTCTGGCACAAAAACACTTGCGGAACAGGCCGCCCACACACCACCAATTCCTGCCACTCTAGCTCGAGGCTCCTGGACGAACTCTATGGAGTTACTATGAACCTCCCCACGCCCATCCAGTGCGATAATCAAGCAGTCATCGCTCTAGCGCCTAACAATAAGTTCCACTCGCGGACCAAGCACATTAACTTTCATTTTCATTTTGTCTGTATCCATGTAAAGAACGGCACGTTCTCACTTGTCTACTACTCCCTGGACAACAACATGCAGATGCCTTCACGAAACCCTTATCTCGTCCCTGCCTTCAGAAACTGCACGCTCTGATGAGCCTAGGTTGCATTCAAGGGGGAGTGTCGGATTTGATGGATTCAGGAGCGAAGACCAACGAAGAGAAATGAGGATGAGAGTTACGAGTGCAACCGCACGATGTCTTGACGTCAGCCATTATTCAGTATGTTCGAAATTTTGTTCTTACTCTAATTACATATAAAGCTACGAGAATCCCCGTTTGAATGTCTCGGTTCTTATCCAAGATCGAGATGTCAGCCTTTATGTTCCCTTCTATATACTATAGCGAACTAACATCAACGGGTAGAATATATTTGTCTTCACATCTCCTTCTCTCGTTCCCCTCGCTGCTGATCACCAGAGAAGTGGCTGAAGCCTGCAGCGGAAACCACCACAGCACCTGTTACTCTCCATCGCCCGCCTCCATCATACTATTACTCTAGATGTCGTATCAATATTTCACTTGTCGGTTCACAATTATTATTACATCCTGTTTATCATGTGCATTCTGGTATGTAGGTAAGCCGATCACATCACGCTCAACAGAACTACTTCGAACAATCAAGATACCTGTCAGTCTCCTCCACCAGTCTCCTCCATCGTCCTCCATTCCAGCTCTTCACTTCTTCCCACTCCTCATTCTTAAAGCAGTACCGTATCCAATTGTATAGTCCCGCAACCATGAAGTCAGCAAAACACGGAGTATCCCCCAACATGAATTGACCGCTGCTAGTCGCATACCACCCATCCATGGTATTGCATCCAGTACGCAGTGCATTCCACTGTTCCTCTCTCTTCTCTAGTGTTGCAAACTGCTCCCATGGAATCCCGAATCGCTCCTCACGGGTGCGCATATAATATTCCTTGCTCTCGGGATTGAGCTTCTGAGCACCTCTAAAACTGCCCAGCAAGCCGATGCCCTCTATGGCGCTATAGAACGCAGTGTGAAAGACGTGTACCAGCGCAGCTGTGTTATTTGGCAGTACTTTCGGTGTATCGGGGTATTGCTCATCAAGGTACTGTGCAATCGCAAAGGAGTCTGTAATAAACCTATTTGTATTGGGATCCATGATGATAGGGAGCGTGCACACGGGTGTTGGGGTTCCCTTGATGTTACGCAAGGTGGTGGGCACAAGAGAATGCTGCTCGTAGAATGGCTTGATCTCCGGGTACTCGAGCCAGACGGTTTGGAAGGGTAGACCCTTGAAGGTGAGACAATATCTATGGCATATCAACGACGAAGAGGAACTCCTGAGGCGGGCAACATACCTTGTTTTCATCGTATTTGGAGACCATGGTTCACTCTGCACGATGCTGGGAATGTCATAGAAGATAATAGGTTTGAGGTCTGGCATCGACATTGCTTCCACTATCTATCAATCCGCGTAAAGTAGCACCCGGGTTTTGCCAATACTTGATGTACAAAGCAAAGCTCTTAGCTCTTAAAGAAAGCTGTCCGCAGCCCCGAAGAATGTAGATTATCGATCATCAATCAATCATCATGGTATCGAATGTTACCAAGAGTGGGGTTGGAGTTACATAAATTGAACGTTGAAATTGACCACTGGCCTACCAATTGTAGTAAATATTATGTATTAGATATTTAATTATTATTTCTAGGACAGTGGCTCTGATCTTACAACCACAGTGGAAGCAATGCGAGACTCATAGTGATCCCTGGCGGGAGGTGGTGAATGTCCTGCTCAGCTGCAAGTCTCGTATCAAAAGCCTGGTACTTACGTGGTATGTGGAGGACGCAACAGAAAACTCACACTCTAGATGGTCGAAGACATAATAGCCCCTGACCAATAGGTGACAGACAGGCTAGACTCGACGTCCTGGGGTGGCACATCATGGTCTGACCTCGACGTTGCACGTTCGACTGCTCGTATGACTTTACTCACAGGACTGTCACAGCTCATGCTACAAAGCCATCTGGTAATGATGGAATAGGTAAAACTTGTGTTTTTGTCATGCACACTGGCAGGGTACTTAGTAGTAGTAGTACTGAAAAAAGTACTTGTATTGGTCTTCCCATCCTTCTCTTCCATCAACATCATCTAGCACTCATCTCCCCCACCTGTCCTTGGCTTGTCGCTTCTGGAACTTGATTTCTCAACACCGCCTGCCAGAAAATGAGTCCATGTCACAAGGGCGGCCGAACCGCGGTTTCTTTGCATGTTGTGCTCGGTCAACCTCGCCTATGCAGCCCGTAACGAGTACCACAGGAGCGAAGCTCCATACAGGGGAATAAGAAGAGCAAATCAACCAGAATGTTAATGTAAGTAATTGATCAACTTTCGCACACTACTTAATACTTCAACACGATGGGTATCAGTGTTCTGGGAATGCTCCGCTTGGCAGGAGAAATAATAGCAAGGATAGCATACACAGAACTATATAAATCACACATTCCTCTTCCTGAATACAATCCAAAGGTGTCAGCCGCATGTAAGTAGGAAAAAATAAGTATTGTAAAATTGCTAGTGCAGCGCAACCACATCATTCATACCGACGAACTCTCAAAGGTACCCCAATACCATCCTCTCCAACAACCCGCGGACGGGGTAAAATCCCCCTCACAACTTCGACTGGGATGTCAGGTCCATCCCGCATCTCAAACACGAAGCTCTTCACCAGAACCGATAAAACCGTCTGTATCGCAGTGAATAACGTCCAGACTAGCTGATTCGAATCACTCACCTTGAATTCCGAGATCGCAAAATCTTTGCCAAGACACGTCCTCGGGCCGTCGACGAATGTCAGCAGATGCCTATGACCCTGGACTTCCTTGGCCTTCCCACTGATCCCGTCTTCAGTCAGCCAACGATCAGGCTTGAATTCCTTTGCATCTGGTCCCCAGATGGCCGAAGAGCGATTGATCGCTGCGCCTGATATCGTGATCAATGTCCCTTTCGCTATACATATACTGTCCGTCATTTCCCCAGACTCCATGCGCACAGGTTCGCTCAAGGGAATGACGTCATCTGCCGCTGCCTGTAGACCTATTGTGAGTGTCTATTGAATCACATGTAGACAGGCACACTCACAAGCCGAGTGAACTCACCCACCGGAGGGTGGAGTCGTAGAATTTCATGGACAACGGCATCCAAGTATGGGAGATTGGCCTTTAATTGGTCATATGTCGGATCGGCACCAAATGCAAACAGCTCCTCTCTGAGTCTGGTTTGGACATCGGAGTGTCGCGATAGCTCGATCAGCGCCCACTGATCATAACATTAATAGCGTGCACAGACATTATCGCACAGTAGGCTTACCGTAAGACTGACTGTCGATGAAAAGTCAGCTAATATGATGGCAGGGGACAAAAAATGAACCCACTAGACGTCGTCTCATAACCTGCCACAAGCAAGACCTTCATCTGCAGGATATCAGCTTGCAATTCAATGCTGTCATACATAATTTCCACGGACCTGAGCCACTACTTCCTCCTTCGACATATGAAGCTCGGCATCTTGGCCTTCGGATTTAACTTATCGCAGCGTTAATCGGGAGAATACGATGAATCTCTTGGAGAGCTTACTCAACGATCCAATGATAGACTTCTCCTCGTCTTTCCCACTCATATTCACATCCTTCTCCCGGCGGCTACGGATCAATAAGTCGTTGGATATTTCTTCCATGACTACGCCGAGTTTCTTGACCAGATTCCTCCGCTTGTTGGGGATCTTTGTAATGATAGGAAACGCTGATGCGAGCAGGAGAAGAACATGGTTCACTGCTGAAGCCTTTTGGTTGTTTCCGAAAGTATCAAACACTTCGGTTACGCTGGCTCGCTTTCCATCGAGCGAGCCAAAATCATGGGAGAAACCAGCGATGCCAATCGAATCCAGACTGATGATGCGTCAGTTAGAGGCGTCAATGGCAAAATACCTTCGCGTACGATATATGATTCATCCTTTGAGTCATTGTGATTAGGAATAACAC